TGAACACCAAGGTTTGAGTGAGCTTCCCTGGCTGGTGATGCTCTAGCATGTTGTCATACATTACTTCTGGGGGAATTATGCACTGTCCACAAACTCCCCTGGGAGAAGACAGGTGGAGGTTCACACCTGGTCTCTCCTGGACTCTGCCCTATGCATCTTTTTTCTTTGCTTATTTTAATCTGTATGCTTTCACTGTAAGAAACCAAAAGCATAACAGCTTTTCTGAGTTTTATGAGTCCTTCTAGTGAATCATTGAACCTGTCCTGGAGACTCCCAAGTACAGGGGTCAAGAAGGCCTTTGTGAGGAAGATGACAAGAATAGAGAGAACCATGCAGACATTTGGGAGAAGAGGGTTCCAGATACAAAAGCCTTGAGATGGAAACATGCCTGGCATGAGCAGGACAAGAGAAGAGAAGATGGTAGAAGATGACATCAGAGGAGATTGAGAGGCCAGTTGGTCTTCGGCCTTATACACCAACCATAAGGAAATGCCCCTTTCACTTGGAGTGCAGTAGAAACTACTGCAGGGTTTTGAGAAAAGTGACCTGCTCCAACTTACATTCTAAAAGGTCACTCTGGTAGCTGTATTAAAATTAGAGTGTAGGAGGACAGGGACAGAAGCAAAGAGAACAGACAGAGGAAACTTGCAGTAATCCAGGTAAGAGATGATGCAGGCTGGAAGGGACCAGGGTAGCAAGGTTGGAAGGTGGTAAGAAACAGTCACATTCTGGATCTACTCTGAAGGTAGAACTGATGGAATTTGGTAAGAAAATGTATATATGGTGTGAGAAAAGGGATTCAAGGGCCAGAATGAGGTAATGAAAAGGATGGTGTGAACATCCACTGAGAAGTCCAAGACCACAAGAGGAGCACATTTGGAACATGGGAAGGGCAGAGAACAACAGCTGGTTTTGAACATGGAGATGTTGAGTAGGCAGCTGGATGTTAAGTGGAGAGTTTGAGAGCCTGGCCTGGCTGGAGACATAAATTTGGGAGTCGTCAGCATGTAGATGGTATTTAAAGCCACGAGACCAGATGAGATCACCGAGGGAGTGAATATAGACAGAGGAGAGAAGGCCAAGGACCGGAGCCTGAGGTGCTCCATCATGTAGAGACTGTGGAGACAAGAAGAAACAACCTCCAGACATGGATGAGGAACAACCAGTGAGTGATGAGGAAAACCAGAAAGGAAAGTGTCCCAGAAGGCGAGGAAAGACACAGGGAGTAGTCCACTTGTTAAACGCTGCTGCTAACTCAAGTAAGATGAATCCTGAAGAGATGGCCCTTGGATTCAGCACCATGGAGGTCACTGGTGCCCTTAACAGGGGCATGGTTGGTGGAGCAGTGGGAGAGAAAGCCTTCATAATGTGGGCTCCAGGGAGGATGGGAGGACAGGAATCACAGGCAGTGAGCTTAGCCAACTTTTTAGGGAAGAACTGCAGTCGTAGGGAGCAGAAAACAGGCCAGGAGCTGGAGGAGAACATAAGAGTGGGGAGAAAGTTTTTGTTGGTTGGTTTTCAGATTTTAACAAGAGGTGGGAGAAACTGTAGTATATTTGTATGCTAATGGGGCTGCTCTTTGGAGAAAAGAAAAACAGATGTTGCAGAAAAGAGAACAGAGAACTGCTGACTGGAGCAATGCCCTCCAGAAGGCAAGAAAGGATGGGATACCAGCACCAGTGGAGGCATCTATCTTAGTTGCAGGTGCAGACTGTCCACCTAGAGAAATGGGAGAGGAGACAGAGGATGTGGGCATGCAGGTAGGTGGTAAGACTGACCTTTCTAATTTTTGCTATTCTGATGGATAAAAGCCATACGTTGTTGCTGCATGGGGCGTGTGATAATTGGAGCCACATCCTGAATAACATGGTTCCAGATCTAAAGAAGAACCCGTGTTTCTCAACTCTCTGTGCCTCTTTCTCGCCAAGAGTCTGCTTCTCTTGGGCATCTCTCTTTCTACCTCTGTGCTTCTGTCCTTCTCTGCATTTTCCGTCTGTCCTCTCCCCGCAGCCCCATCTTTCTGTTTCTGTGTATTTAGCCCTTTGTGTCTTTCTCGGTCTTCCCCTCCCTTCATGTTTGCATTGGGGCCCCTCCTCTGGGCCTGGGTGTGGGGCCTAGTTTCTCATCCCAGCCAGCACTTCCAACCAGAACTTCCAGTTTCTGCTTGACAAAGAATCCCATTTTGAAGCCAAGTTAGGGAGGAGCCTCCCGGAACCTTCGATGCCTCCATCTTAAGCTTTACTTATTTAACAAGTACATTGTGGCCCTTGGTCCATGCCACACTCTCTTCAAAGCATTTTCAGGTACTCATCCATTTAACCCTTCTCCATAAGGCAGGTGCTATTGATTGTGCCATTTTACAAGTGGGGACGCCAAGGCACAGAGCAGTCACATCGCCTGAACTCAGGCAGCCTAGCTCCAGGGTCTGAGGTCAGAACCACTAGGAACACAGTCTCTTTTTCCAGTCCTTCCTTCTTCTTTCTCCAGTCCAGCTCTCTGTGGTGGAGGAGAGACCTGCACCTGTGAGAGACGTGCACCTGGATTTGGTCCAGTCTGTGACTTTCAGCCATGGGCTTGTGCATCAAGTGAGGGGTGGAAGGTTCCCAGCCCTCAGTGGGTCCGTGACCTCACTTCAACCAGAGCCAGCCAATGCGTGTTCGGCCACTCATAACCCCTAACATCAGTTTGACCCGGCACTCACACCTCAGCAAATGACAAGGCCAACCACCCTCACTCCAGGCTCCAGATCTTCCCAAGTCAGAAAGGCTCCTCAGGAAGCATGGACTCAGGTCACAAGAGGGCACTGGTCCCCCGACTTCCCACACAAGCTGGTTGCCTCACTTAACCTGGCATCCGCCCTCCAGCCACACCACCTAAACACAACTCCATTCAAAAAGTGAACTCAGGCCCTGCCCTGTGAAGTGGGGGAAGTTCAGGGTGGAGAAAGACAGTGACCTTTCTCTCACTTTGAGAGGTGGGGTATGACCCAGCTCACCACCACCAAAACCTGCTACATCATAGACTTTCAACCTCATGGCTAGTTCTCATCACCAATGTCAACCCATGACCACATCTCAACATTTCCTCATCCAAACCTCAATCTTGGTTCCATCTTCAGCCCCAACCCAACAGTACCCCATCACCAACTTATCCACAGACACTTCCCATCTGACAATCCAGTTCTATCCCAAAACCAGCTCAACTACCACATCCAACTCTATACCCAAGCTCATCCAATTTTCATGCTTCTCCCCAAACTCATTGCATTCCCAATGCTGTCATCAGGCCCATCCATAACCTAACCACACACTCTCCTCATTTCCTATATTAAGCCATATTTTTCTTCTTAGCAAAAGACTTTGGAAGGGACCCCACACTGGACATTGAGGTGTCCTCAATGCAAAGTTAGATGGGTTATCTGATTTTAAGAGGTCTCTGCACCCTTTACTGTCATTGAGCTACTTCATGACTCTAAATTGTAGATATCTGAGAGCAATGCAAATAATTCTTGCCCATAACTCTTTATGAATCTTGCCAGGTGGAAGTACAATGCATTTCCCTCCTCCTCCCAGTGTGGAATAGCCAGTTTTGCCTCTATTTGTAAATTCATGTCAGCATTCCTTGTTGTCTAGGTGCATATGGCTCTCTGTAACATCTTACTGGCCCTGCCGTTTATTAATGAGTCAAGATAAAAATCTTTGACACATGTCCATTTCATATATGTCAGAGTCATGGCTAGACCATGTTTGAAAAGTTACCTTTTCAATTCCGGGGTGAGGGGCTGCACGCTGGAGCCCCAGGAGGCTGCACACTGCCCCTCCCACCTCCCTACTGCAGCCCCACCAAGGAGAGAATTGGGGGTGGGGGGCAGATTCCAGGGTCAAGGCTGTCAAGAGTGAATGAGGGGAGGGGAGATTCAGGAGCAGAGAGGTTTCAGATTTGATCTCCACATCCAAACCTGAGCTCCATCAGTAAGGACCATGTGAGTTTCCATATGAGCCCTCACCCATCCATCCATCCATCTCGGTTCCTTATCCTCATTGTGACACCTCCACTCTCTCAGTCTTTCCAAACTTCATCTGGTCCGCATCCCTGGCTTTATTCCGAATTCTGACGCCACCTCTGTCCTTCTTAATCCCTAATCCTGTCCCCTCCACCCCACAGGATTAATTCAGGACTCCACCCAGCCATAGTTCCTGGAGACACCTACTCATTCCCAAAACACCACCCCTTCCTCCTTCCTCTCCCCCACCCCCAATCCACATCTTCAAAGTTTTCTGACTCCTGCTTTTTCCTCTCCACCTACGTGCAGTAGACTCCCTCACCCACTCTGGCCTTGCTCCTAAAAGACCATTTCTAGAAAATATTGCTTTTCTCAAGTCGCATCTCTGCCCCATCCAAGTCTAAGAGCAATTGATTTTCTATCCACCCAGCTGATGATTTCCTTCTTGTCATCGTGGTTGCCAGGACAAGGGAGGCAGGATAATGGATTGTGTGTGTCCTTGTGTCTCTCAAAAGAAAAAAGGGCTAAGACTGGGCATTGGAACCTGGATGTGTTGAGAGCTAAACCTGAGACGATGTTGGAGATGGCACTGGGGTTGAGGAACGGGCTGGGGTACCAGGTATGGTTAGGGACAGATAGGGAGGTGGGAATGGGTAGAATGTGGCCATCTGGGGACTGACTGTGTGATAAGAATTATGCCTGGCGTTGGAGTAGAGGTTAGAAAACGGGGTGCAGAATGGGTTGAAGTTAGGGATGCGCATGGAATTCGTCGAGGCTGGGGGAAGGGAATGGGCTTTCCCTTTACCCTTCGTTGGATCCTGCCGCCTGAAAGTTCACAGTGGGTTCAACTCAGGTTTGGGCGGGGTCCGATCTGGGTCCTAACATGTCCTGGAAGCTCCGCCCCAAGCAGAGGGCCAAGCCCAGGCTGGGGGCTGCCTGGAGACAGCCCGGTGAGCCACAGGGGGTGGAGAGGGGGAGGCCAGTGACCAGGAAATGCTGAGTGAGCTGGGGGAGGGAGTTCAGGGGTTAAAAGCCATGGGTCGGGGCTGACGTTCCAGGCAGCTGGCGGCCGACGCTCCTCGAGGCCCCCTCACTCAGGTAGGGTCTGCCTGGGATGGGGGCGGGGAGCGGAGGAGGGCGAGGGTTGGGGAGAGGAGGGGATAGGAGGGATGGGGAAGCAGAAGGGCCGCTGAGTCAGGGAGAGGGAGAGTGAAGCTAGAGTCTCAGATCTAGAGAGAAACCTGCAGAGACGGAGAGGCGAAGAGCGCAGACTGATAAGAACTAGGGCTGAACCCCAACGTGGGGACTGACCCAGAGTGGGGAGACTGGAAGGCAGGCTCTGGAGGAACGGGGCGAGGGTGCACCGACCACCCAGCTCGCCAGAGGGCAGGGAAGGAGGGACGGCTTTCGGGGTGAGGGGCTGCAGGCCGGAGCCCCAGGAGGCTGCACACTGCCCCTCCCACCTCCGTACTGCACCCCCCCACCAAGGAGCGAATTGGGGGTGGGGGGCAGACTCCAGGGGCAGCGCTGTCAAGAGTGAATGAGGGGAGGAGAGACTCAGGAGCAGAGAGGTTTCAGACGCGGAGGTTCCGGGCACGCCCTCAACACCCCCTTCACCTTCTCCTCAGGCCCCGCCCGCCCTGCCCCCAGCTCGATCCCGGAGCCATGTGGCCCCTGGCCCTAGTCATCGCCTCCCTGACCGTGGCCTTGTCAGGAGGTAAGAATGCGCGGGGGTGGAGGCGCGGTGGCCACTCGGGACAATGGTGGGAGGGGTCAGGCCAGGGGGAGGGGGCGTGGGAGCCACGAGCTCCGCCCCCCGCCCACTCGGGGCCGGGTCCTGTGGGGACAGCCCCGAGCACTTCCTGCCTGTCCCTGGGTGGCCTGATTTCCCGGCCGAGGTCGGCCCTCTGACCCCAGATCCCTCTCCTTCGAAAATGCCCTTGCAGCAGCCCCTCCCCCGTTCAAGGCTTCCTGTCCTCTGTGGGAATCTGAAGGACACAGGTTCACGTCCTGACGCTCCCGCTTTGAGCCAGTAGCCTAGCAACTGCGTTGAGCCTAAATTGTTTTCATCTGGAAAATGGGTTCAATCTATAAGTGCTTACCACAGAAGGCCACTGTGAATATTGAAACGCTGTAATGCATCAGCCTTCAATATGTGGCAGATAGAAGGGAGTTAAGTTAGCCACTGAGCCATTATTACTTTATTAATAGTGTTCGCTCTTTCTCTCTTTTTCTTTTCTTTTTTTTTTTTTTTTTCTCTGAGGAGCCTCACTCTGTCACCTGGGCTGGAGTGCAGTGGTGCGATCTCGGCTCACTGTAACCTCCGCTTCCCGGGTTCAAGCAATTCTTCTGCCTCAGCCTCCCGGTAGCTGGCATTACAGGCGCCTGCCACCACGCCCAGCTAATTTTTGTATTTTCAGTAGAGACTGGGTTTCGCCAGGTTAGTTAGGCTGGTCTCGAACTTCTGACCTCAGGTGGCCTGCGTCGGCCTCCCAAAGTGCCGGGATTACAGGCATGAGCCACCGTACCCGGCCTCTAGTATTCTCTCATCATACGTAGTCCCTTCCAGAACCTTCTAGATTGTTCTTTTAATCTTTGGGTTGACCCCAAACCTATGTGACCTCACCCCAAATTGGTAGTCCTTAAGATTCCTATGGATCTTTCCTATCTTTCCCTGCCTTTGTAGGCAGCTTCTCTGGAAACTCCATTCATGAATCATTTAGTCATTCAACAAACAGCTATTAAACACTGCCCACTGTGCTGCATGATGTACAAGCAGAGACACAGTCCCTGCTCTCAGCACCTGGAGTCTAGCGGGGACAGACACAGATGTTATTCAAACAATTATCCAAATAATTAGTTAATAATTATCTTGACATGAGGTGAAGACTTTAAGGAGCAAAGCCAGGAGCCTAGAGATGTGATGGCGGCTCCCAGACCAGAGGCCTTCCCAAAGGGCCTGACCACTGAGCCAAGACCTGAAAAAGGAGGGGTCTGTGGGTGCCTGGCACCAGGCACCATCCTTGGCCTGAAGGTGGGGTGGTTTTTCCCCTTTGGCAACACTCGCTGGACTCATGCGCATACCTCTCCTGAGTGCCACACCTTAGACTAGGAGAGCCACATGTTATGCCTTGTGGAGTCCTCAACAACCTTGGGAGGTAGGCGCACTGGAACTCCTACAACTTCACAGCAGAGAAACCTAGGACTCAAGCACAGAAGGCTCCTGCCCCAAAGACACCAGCAATGCCTGGGTCAGAACCTAATCAGCGTTGTCTGTCCTGTCCTCCATATCCTGGACTTGAGGCTCTGAAAACCATTTTTATAACTTTTAACCTAATCGTTTTCATAAAGTTAGCCCTTTTTTTTTTCCACTTAAATGAAAGCATGTTCAAGTTTATATTACTGTCCTGAATGGAGAACAGAATCCTTTGCCATAAATAAAAGGTAAGGAAGGAAATAAATTCTACACAATGAAAAGCAAACAATATGTTTATTGGGTTGGACTGCCTGAAACTGCTGGTACGTGACCCTTTTTGACTTTCCTAAAACAGCTTTTGCAGACGGTTCAACATAATAAATGTTAGGTGGCCTGCTGAGGCTTCTGTGTCCTCCCGGCTTTAAAAAGTGAGCTCAGTGAGGATTAGGGAGGTGTTAAAACCGTATTAGCACCATCCTGAGACTTTATCCTTGACAAAATCAGGATTAAAAGAGAACTGGGCCGGGCGCGGTGGCTCAAGCCTGTAATCCCAGCACTTTGGGAGGCCGAGGCTGGTGGATCACGAGGTCAAGAGATCGAGACCATCCTGGTCAACATGGTGAAACCCCGTCTCTACTAAAAATACAAAACATTAGCTGGGCATGGTGG